GATAAATATTTTTAGAGGTAAACTGTGAATAAACAGAAAATTTCCACGCTATCATCTCATATAAAGTTTATCTATTAAATGTTATCTTTCTGAGTCTTTTGGATAAGTAGTACAGATGATTAAAAATAAATATTTTTAATTCTAAAAAATCACTTTAGCCAGTAGATTTGACCTCCCTGCTCACCAAATACTTAATTGACCTATGAACAGAAAATAATAAAATCAGTTGTCTGGTTTGAGTTTCAGCTCTCAGTATTTCCTTTAGTTAGAAATCTATTAATAATAAATGACACCCCTACTTTTTTTTTTTTTTTTGCGGTACGCGGGCCTCTCACTGTTGTGGCCTCTCCCATTGCCGAGCACAGGCTCCGGACACGCAGGCTCAGCAGCCATGGCTCACGTGCCCAGCCGCTCCGCAGCATGTGGGATCTTCCCGGACCGGGGCATGAACCTGTGTCCCCTGCATCGGCAGGCGGACTCTCAACCACTGCGCCACCAGGGAAGCCCAACACCCCTACTTTTCACCCCTGCTCCCTCCACCATAGCAGTAAAAATGAACTATTCACAAATTATCAGCTACAAACATTGGAAAGTCAGTTCTTATCCTAAAAGAAAGTGTCTAACTTATTATTGAGGGTTGAGGTTTTCAAAAGCATTTCTTAAATTCTTATGTGTCCTATTTTTGTTTGTTTTCCTTAAAAAAGAATTTTTTAAAGGACTCATTTCATAGTAGAGATAAGCATAATCACTTTGAAAAGCCAAGAAATAGTTGTTGAGATTCTCATTGTTGTATCCCAAACTATTACAAAATACTGGATCATCTAGTGGAACTATGGCAGCCTGCTCACAACTTAAATTTATATTTACACTTACAGTGAGAATATTTGTTTTAATTATTAAGGATTAAATGAGATGATACATATAAAATCCCCAAGAGAAAGGGCACACAATAAAAGATAACTATCAACACAGTGGAACCACTTCTAAAAATCCATGTTGGTTTCCACATTTGCATTTTCTTTGGGCATCTTCAGGCATATATAAACCCAAACTGGTAATGATGTTGGCAGGCAATGACCAAGACATAGTGCTGACTGGACCCTATTGTTGGAGACTTTTCAAAGTCAAGTGCCTCTAATACATATGCGTAAGTTCTAAGCTCTAGCTCTATTAATTCCTGGGTAGAAATTTAAGAAGAATTTGTTTTACCCCCTTCCCCAGGTGATAAAGTCATCCCACTCTTTGTTCCCCAGTGTGGAAAGTGCAGTGTTTGTAAACACCCGGAAGGCAATTTCTGCCTGAAAAACAGGTAAGTTTCTGATACTCTCCTTATGCAGCCAAGGAATTTGCACATCAGTTATACTCCTGTCTCATACCCTCATGTGCCTGTGTGTTGCACTGACCAGTATGACCAAGCCTCGGGGGACCCTTATGGATGGTACCAGCAGGTTCACCTGCAGAGGGAAGCCCGTCTACCATTTCATCGGCACCAGCACCTTCACTCAGTACACAGTGGTGGATGAGATGTCGGTGGCCAAGATTGATGCAGACTCACCGCTGGAGAAAGTCTGTCTCATTGGCTGTGGATTTTCTACTGGTTATGGGTCTGCGGTCAAAGTTGCCAAGGTAGGAATTACAATGGGTGATAAAACCAGCTACACTCAGACTGTCAGGAGCTAAAAGGAGAGCAGCTTCTCACAGGAATCAGAGATCATGCTACACAGATTTACTGATAGCTTCTCCCCCCACCACCGTAATAATATTGACATGCTCCATAGAATCGAGTCTGTTGATTATAAGTAGAAAATGCCCTCAGAAGGAATTGAGAGCGCATCCTAGAAAATTTATCTGTTAATCACAAATGAAAAGCTGTTGATAATTAACTAAGAGAAAGTAAAGATGTTTTCAATAATTATTCTTCTACATGTGTTTTTCTATGGGATTACTAAATTTTAGAGCTGGGAGCTCGTTTTGTCATTCATTTTGTAGTTAGCACCAACATGAGCCATACACAGCAGTTTCCACTAAGTTCTGAGTCAGGAAAAGTAAAAGAAATGAAGGCGTTGCCTTTGAGGAGTATCTAGTCCATGGATCTTCTACTCCCAGAATTATGACCAACAGTAGATTTCAAAGCCTTACCTGATATGCCGATATGCTTCCAAACTGAGGGTCGCCAACACACCCACTCTACGGATCTCTACGAGGAAAGCAATGAAGCTTCAATGATGCATGAAGCATTTATTCCACTGCTATACCTCCACCCCTGCCGCAAATACACACACACACACACACACACACACACACACACTTCAGAAGTGGTAGATTTTAAGGAGAAATTCTTTAAAGGCTCCTCTTCCCAAAAGGCTGGAAATCTAGTAGTATCCTTTCATTTTATGAAACTCAGGTCCAGAGACATAGAGCTATTTGCCCAAAATCTCACAACTGGTTAATACGACAGCTGTGACTAGCTTCTTTCTCAAAACTCCTGCTGAATCATAAACCATAATACATAATTACCAGCACTTTTAAATCACAATCACAAGCCTCATGTTTTTCTAAGGTAAAAAAGTGGTGTGGTGCCCCACAGAATGTTTACTTGGGACAGGAGGAACATTTCACCCACACTGAAGGCTAACTGTAGCAGATTAGGTTTATTAAACAGTTCCTTAGGCAAGTTAAACAATTGAGAGCACGTGTTTTCCAAATTTCTGTGAGCCTAGCACTAAGTCCCTTGTGCAATTGCCTCATCTGAGCAGGTGGTCCAACTGAACCTACACACAGAAGCCAAGAAGCACTTGTGATGATGAATTTCATCCATTATTAAAGTACAGACTAGCTTTTCATTGCATTATTCTTCATTAGTGTATTTTAAAAAGCAGACATAAAGACCCACTCAGAGCACACTGGTCCCAAGCAGTATTATCTTAAACTTACCTGTTCAACTTCCCCTGTTGTTAAGTTTGCTTTAAGCCGAGGATAACTCTTCTATGCTTCACCGATAATTTCTGCTCTCATTATACTGCTTATGACTACTGAAAGTTAATGAAACAAGGAGTTAATTATTGAGGGTTCAATTGGATTATTTTTTTTCAGTCTCCTCTCTTCTACTTATTATTTAATTTCCCCAAAATTGTGTTTGTGTATGTGTGATGGACTGAAGCTGGCTATCAATAGATTCTCTTTAAGAGGGGGTCACTAGCATTTAGAGCTCAAAGATCATCCAGTCCACTGGCTCCCAGCTTGGGTTTCCCATTGGAGTCACCTGGAGACTTGGTCTCACCTGCAGAGAGTCTGATTTAATTGCTTATGGGCTGTGACCTGGGTGTTGGGATTTTTTTTCAAAGCTCCCCAGGTGAGTCTTATGTCTAGCAAAATTTGAGAACCACTGATCTAATTCAACCCCTTCATTTTAAACATGAAGCAGCTGAAGCCAAAAGAAGTTTTGAAAACAGATGGACATAGTTTGAGTCGCTCCTGACAAGGGAAAATCATGGCACTTTATACAATTTAGGCTCTTTCTAACAGCCATTAATCTGTATTTGCATTTTCTGAAAACACAGGTCACCCAGGGCTCCACCTGTGCCGTGTTTGGCCTCGGAGGAGTTGGTCTGTCTGTTATCATAGGCTGTAAGGCAGCTGGAGCAGCCAGGATCATCGCAGTGGACATCAACAAAGACAAATTTGTAAAGGCCAAAGAGGTGGGTGCCACTGAGTGCATCAACCCTCGGGACTATGAGAAACCCATCCAGGAGGTGCTGAAGGAAATGAGTGGTGGAGGTGTGGATTTTTCATTTGAAGTCATCGGTCGTTTTGACACCATGGTATGTACCCTGAAATGCCTTGAGACATCAGCTTCTGCATTCTAGAGTCTACTTTTATGCAGCAGAATATAAACATCATATATAAAGAATATTTTTTAAACTATGGCAATTTTCCATCTCCTATTTGTTACCTGGATTGCTTAATTATTATTATGAGGAATCTCATTCCATCAGTTACATATAACTGTCACAAGTATTATTTCCTTTTTAGAGACAGAAGAGGGTTTTTTTTATTGAGCCATCATAAATTTATTTTAATTTTTAGTTCAAAAAATTCAACCTCAAGTCAATATAAAGAATATAAATTCTGGTTTCAAGTTGGCAAGTTTGATTTTTCCCCCACATTCTTAACAAAAAATGGTTTGACGATTTTTATAGGTTTTAATGGATATCGTATTTTGGCCAACAGAAAAAATGAGCAACTTTAGGCTCCGTATCATTTTATTAACAGAAAATATGCCCTGTTTTACCACAGCACGCAGCACAGTGCCTGGTACATAATACGCATCCGAATCTGTGTGTTGAACTGAATACTTTAAAAAGTCAACAGGTTTTTCCACCCAAAAAATTTAAGTGATATGTATCTCATAGTGTTGTTTCTGGATTAAGTGAGATAAACATGTAAAATACTTAGCACGTGCCACCTGTCAGTAGCAAGCTCGTATTAATAAATGTCAGCTGGGGTCATCAACGTACAGTACTGTTTGCAATCTTGCAGCACTTACATCATCTTTAAAATATACATATTACTTTCAAATAATTACAATTATCAATTGCAACAGAGAACACATCCCTAGCTACATTTCACCTAACCAGAATTCTCTAGAATCCTAATGAAAACACCCCCAGAGACCAACAAAAAAAAAGCCCCCTTTTAAGGTTCTCCAGTAAGTCCCAGCAGTGTTGGTAGTAAGAAGCAGCACCTAAAGAGTAAAGCTCTTTTCAGCCTTGACCTGGGACAATATGCCATAGATGACTGAAGTTCCAATACAATCCAACTTTTTCCAAGGCGCTAGCCTTTCTCCTTATGCCATTTTTCTATGGTTTCCCCTCCATTTTCTCTTGTGGAATTGGACTGTTTTAAATGTCTGATAGCCACATGTTCTAAAGTTCTCTGGTCTTCCAAATGTCATACTCCAAAATCAAAGGACTGATTATTATATATTTCAGGGGGGATCCTAAATGACTTTCTTACTGCAAACCTGCTTAAAAACCTGACTGGAGGGGAAAGGCTTTCTTTTCAAGTTCCAGAGTAATAGGTGTAGTTTAAAGTAAAGTCACACAGGAGTTAAAAGCACATTTAAAACATGCCCATTTTAGGTCAACAACTATATGGAAAGGTGCTCAACATCATTAATCACCAGGGAAATGCAAATCAGAACCACAGAGAGATATTACCTCATCCCTGTTAGAGTGGCTATTATCAAAAGACAAGCAATAACAAGTGTTGGAGATTGTGTGGAGGAAAGGGAATTTTGTGCACTGTTGGTGGGAATGTAAAATTGGTACAGCCATTATGAAAAGCAGTATAAAGGGTTCCTCCAAAAATTTAAGATAGAACTACCATATGATCCAGCAATCCCACTTCTGGGTATATATCCAAAGAATATAGAAATCACTATCTGCACCCCCATGTTCACTGCAGCATTATTCATAATAGCCGAGATATGGAAACAACCTAAATGTCCATTGATGGATGAACAGATAAAGAAATTGTGATGTATATATAATATATATATTCATATATATTCTATTCAATAATATATTCAATAATATAATTCATATGAATGAGTATTATTCAGCCATAAAAAAGAAGTCCTGCCATTTGCAACAACATGGAATAACCCGCAGGACATTATGCAAAGTGAAATAAGGCAGACACAGAAAGACAAATATTATATGACCTCTCTTACATGTGGAAACTAAAAAAATCAAATTCTTAGAACCACTGAGTAGAACAGTGGTGGCCAGGGTCTGGAGGAGTGGGGGAGGAATAATGGGTAGATGTCAAAGAGTACAAACTTTTAGTTATGAGTAAGTTCTGGAGACTTCCATGTACAGCATGGTTATTATAGTTAATATTACTATACTGTATACTTCAAATTTGCTAAGAGAGTAGATCTCAGATGTTCTCACTACAAAAAAAGGTAGTAGCTATGTGAGGTGATGAATGTGAATTAACTTGATTGTGGTAATCATTTCACATGGTATATTAAATAATCACATTGTTCACCCTAAAAAATCACATTGTACAACCTAAAAATAAACAATTTTTATTTGTCAATCATACTTCAACAAAACTGTAAAAAAATAAAGTACATAAATTAAGAAAAAAGTGTCCACTAGAAATAGGCGGTAGAAATGGGGATCCATTAAAAAGGGAGACTGTGAAGTGGGAAAGAGAGAAATGTTGATGATGTAATTGACCTTGTATCTGGTTCACCATCAAAATACCTGGTTCAAAGTACTGAGTTCAAAATATCTTAATAAGTAAATGAAGAATGAATTAACTAACTCAGATTGCCCAGGGGTCATGTGATGATAAACATTACCTTTATTTGAGGAATCAGATTACATATATGTAATGAGATTTGCCACTTTATTATTTTCTAAAGAAGACTTAAGTACATACAAACATACAAATTCATTCATCTATTGTCTCACTCAAAAATATTTTCTGGGCACTTTCTAAAGCCACACTTAGTGGCTTTAGGAAATAATGGGGAATGAAGAAAAAGGCATAATCTCCTCCCACCACACACACACAATTTAGCTAGATACATATTACACGATACCGTGTATCATAAGTTGGGACTACCAGAAAATCCACTTTAATGATGCTACATATTAATTTTATTCCAGATGGCTGCCTTGTTGTGCTGTCACGAAGCATATGGAGTAAGCGTCATTGTAGGAATAGCTTCTAGTGCCGAAAATCTCCCTATGAACCCCATGTTGCTGTTGACTGGACGTACCTGGAAAGGAGCTGTTTTTGGTGGTACGTAGTTAGGCTTGAGGGCCAAATTCTTACTAACGTCAGGATTTCTTCCTTTTTACAAGTGACAAGGCCAGGTTTTAAAATGCAGTGTAGGGACTTCGCTGGTGGTGCAGTGGTTAATAATCCACCTGCCAATGCAGGGGACATGGGTTTGATCCCTGGTCCAGGAAGATCCCACATGCCACGGAGCAACTAAGCCCGTGCCCCACAACTACTGAGCCTGTGCTCTAGAGCCTGTGAGCCACAACTGAGCCCGCATGCCACAATTACTGAAGCCTGTGCGCCTAGAGCCTGTGCTCTGCAACCAGAGAAGCCACCACAATGAGAAGCCCGCACACCGCAACGAAGAGTAGCCCCCGGTCACCGCAACTAGAGAAAGCCCGCGCGCAACAACAAAGACCCAACACAGCCAAAATTAATTAATTAATTAATTTAAAAAAATAAAATGCAATGTAGTTTAAAAATAAACTAAAGTTCCTTTGTATCTATAGGCTCCAAATCAACTAGATGTGGAACTAATGCATACAGAAAGTCCCAAGATAGACTTTAATGGAGTCCCCATAAACTAACAAGGATCTTTCAGCATCATCTCCTTTGATACTTGTGACTGCACAATGCACTGAAATACCTAGGAGGATCCAGGAAATCCACAGCGATAATCTATGTCTGCACTCACTGCCCCAATTTAGACAATTGTTAAATCTTCTTCTTCACTTTGAGAATAACCATCTGTACTATAATTTCTCTATGAGAGAACTAATAACCAAGGACCCTAGTTTGTTTGGAGAGATTGTATTAAAAAGTCAAACCACCGCAAAAGGATATTGAAACACACCATCTCTTCTTAACCTCAGTAATAGTAGTCTGTGGACACTTTACAAACTTTCATTTAAATTCTATGTGGAAAGTCTCCTCTCCAATTCTCCTCATATCTGGCTGAATCTAACATTGATGTCACTTCCTTTTCAGGCTTTAAAAGTAAAGATTCTGTCCCCAAACTTGTGGCTGATTTTATGGCTAAGAAGTTTCCACTGGATCCATTAATAACCCATGTTTTACCCTTTGAAAAAATAAATGAAGGATTTGACCTGCTTCGCTCAGGAAAGAGGTAGACTTTAAGTTTCTTTTCATGGTGCGGTTTGACTAACAGAGAAAAAAAGGTAGAAGGATGAGAGAAAGCAAGGGTGCAGTACCTTGGTTTTCCATTCACAGTTCAATCTTTGCATGTAGGACACTTAAGATCATGTTGTGAGAAGCTAAATGCTTTGCACTGCCTGTTTTGTTGAAGCCAAATTATGTTGGTCACAGTAAATCTGAATGATCAGAGCCCTCTGCCTTCTTTACAAGAGAACTCTTACCTTTGCAAGGAAAAAGAATGAGACACACAGTCATATTATAACGTGGAGTTACTGCAGCCCCTGCCTAGCCACCTAAAACGGTTGACTATTAATAGCTATAAATTTAAATTACATTCAAGACATCCCCAAAACTCATTATGGGAGCTGGTGGAGCTATATAGGCATTATTTTCTATACAGATATTACTTTCTTCATTAAAATGCTATTATTGTTATTCCTTTTTTCCATTTACAAAGAATTTTTCACAAATAAAAATTATTGCAAAGAGGAAGGGTACATAATCTATTTTAAATCTTTAAATCTTACGTGTTCTTCAAAGCTTAGAAAAACAAGCCAGTTCCATTTTCCACCTCTAACGTTTAACGTTTACAACCACCTAAAAAGAAGAATTTTATCATTTGCATTTATATATGGGGCACAATTAATAATAGGCAGTTTTACCTAACTCTCCCCTTCTTGTTCCATAGTCCCTGCTTTTTCTGCAGCTTCACCCTTCTTCTCATGAGGTTTTCAATTTTAAACAATATTTCTTTAGCACCCATACACATAACACATACTAGGCACTTAGTCTGATAAATATTATTGAGGAAGGAAAGAAACTAGCATCCAAACAGTACCAGATTACATCCTTTCTAGAAAGCAGTTTGGTCATTTGTATCAGAAACCTTAAAAAAACGAAACAAAAAAATAAAACTTAGATCCTATGTCCCAGCAATGCCATTTCTGAGAATATATTCTACAGAAATTATGAGATATGCCAACATACATATGTTTAAGCATGTTCATCTATAATATCAAAAATTGGAAACATTCCAAAGGTTAACATTAAGGGGATAGTTAAATAAATTCCAAACATGTACTAGAAATCAATGAAGCCATTTAAAAAGAAATGATTTCATTAAATTGGGAAATTCTCCTGATGTAATTTTAGGCTATAGAGTAAACAAACTTATATATACAATATGGTTCCAAGTTTTCAATAAGAGCAATAAAAACTTGCATATGTTTAGAAAAAGTTGATCAAAATTCAAGAAAATATTAACACTGATTATTTCTGGGTTGTGGGATTACAGGTTATCTTTACTTTCTTCTTTATACTGTCCTTTACTTTCTAAATTATCTACATACATTTTTCATATATATTATATATATATACACACACACATATATATATATATTTTTTAAATACAAAGACCACCTTTTTCTAAAGTACCCATCAGAAGATGGTTTTTGGAAAGGACATTAGTTCCAGTAAAATGTAACATTTCTGATCTTTCCAAGAATAAAGTCTCACCCAGTACAAATCAATTCTTTTTTTTCTACTTCTAAGTCTCCTTAAACATTTCTTTATCAAAGCTCTATTAAACTTTCAACATGGTCTTAACTTTATTACACTATCAGCACCTTTAGGCACATTACCTATCATCTTGTAGTTTGTGCAACTTTGTATTTGTATTTAAATCCCAGGATCCCACACTAGATGTGTGATCTAAAGAAAGTTGCAAGTCTCTCCAAGTCTCAGTATCTACAATCGCTAAAATGGAAATAATATTAGAAACTGCCTCCTAGCATTGTTGTTTAAGTAGAAGTTTAAATGATAAAATACATGAAAAACATCTACATAGTATGTGACAACAGCATGAACATATCATTACACATTGTTATTTTGTATTCCTTATTATACAAGCCATGTGGGATCTCAAAAATTATATTTTGAAAATCTAATACATAATGAAGCCTAAATGGCAGTCATATTCAGGATATAATAGAGCTTCAGGTTGGAGAAAACACAACAGGAAAAGATGAGATGACGTTTTACTTGACTTGACTTGAGTGCATTACGGATGGGAATGAAATAGCAGGAAACAAAGATAGCTTTTCAAAGAGACAAATCAAGTGCTCCTTGTACTCTCACATGGAAGAGTGTATATTATCTAAACATTAAAACAATTAGTATCTTTTATTTTCTGTTTCAGTGTCCGTACCGTCCTGACATTTTGAGACTATACACGTGGCTTCACTTGTAGCAGTCTTCCGGCTCCTCCATCATCTGAAACATCAGCCAAACATCATCAATAATTCTATTCTTCAGAGATACTACCAATAAATTACACATGGGGGCTTTCCAAAAGAAATAAAATTAATGTGAAATCATTTTTAAGCAAATGCTTAAAATTCAAGTAAGAGCCAGATGAACCATCATATGGGTAATTGAGTCCAATAAACCCTCCTTCTTAATCATTCTACTCATGTTGAATCGTGTCATCTTTCCCACTGAGGAAAGGTATTTCTTTTGAGTTTCTGCACTTTTCGTATCTTTGCCACCCTTAGTCTTTGAAGCCTTAGTCATTGAGAAAGTCCTCGTGATACTTATTCCCCAACATATATGTGATGGACTATTGTGCTCCAAGTCCTCTACCTGTACTTCTACTGTCTGTATTTTCCTTTTTATGAAATGCAGCAAAACCCTACAGTAAAAACTACACATAGTCTGCGAAAGGATACACTCAGATTTATAAGTGGAGAAGGTCCAGAACTTCTAAGTGCAGGGAATTTCTTAGGGAAATGTCACATATTTTTAAGGTGAAGGGAAGTGTTTTTATACTACAGTTTCATACTACCTGTGATAAATGTGAGGTTTGAATAGTAAATCTGAAAACTGAACTGCTCTTGGAACCATATTCCAAAAGTCTATAACTTTTACTCAAGAAAGTACTTTATTGGTTAAATGATCTTAGTTATTACAATTGACTGAAAATAAGTCATAAGGTAATTAAAAATAATACGGTGGCTTGAAGTCTAGGGATGGGAATAAAGCAGCTGTGGACACAGAGTGTAAAAAGGGTAACTAAGAAATGGCACAAACATCCAAAGCAATAGATTTTCTAAGTAGATGTATATACACATAGAGATGTACATTTTTGCAAAAATCTTTTCAAACTAGAACTTTTCTATTAACTACCATGTCTTAAGCCTATAACCCTGGAATTAATTCTTTGCACATGTGAAAGTCTATGGTCCCCATTTGTTAGTGCTTTCTCAGGGGAAGATTTGCACTTTGAGCTTCATCTCTAAATGTGTAATGAAAAGCTTATTCCTTGAAGGAGCTTTAGCTATCTTTAAAAGTGTGATTTGTTTCCATGTCTACAATTTGTTTGATATCGTGGAAAGGACTCTAGACTTAGAGCAAGTGATCTACCACTTATTTGTGACCTTCAGTAAATTACTCAACCTCTCTAAACCCATTTTATCCATTGTTTTAAAAAATTACTCTACCAACCCATTACAGCTTCATGAAGATTAGATGGAATGATGCTAGTGAAAAGGCTTGTCAACTATGAAGTGCCACGTAAATGTAGGGAACAGTTTAATTCTTTTGTCAAAGATACTGAAGGAGATATTGAGGGTTAGGGGAGCTTTAAGAATGTCCCTAAGTTTTCAGATTGTCCTGACATCATGGAACACCACGTTCCCATGTTACTGGGTGCTCCAATGTTTTTATATTGGTGCTGATAATGTGAGATTCAGAGGGAAAAGAGATGGTTCTAAATGCCCATGTCACAATAGTGGGCATAAAATCCTACTGGTTGCACAGAGGCCTGGCCCGTGAGCCATGGCCGCTGAGCCTGCGCGTCCGGAGCCTGTGCTCCGCAACGGGAGAGGCCACAACAGTGAGAGGCCCGCGTACCACACACACAAAAAATTACTCAGAAGTTGAAGTAGAGTAAGAGCAAGTATGTATTTAATAATTACATTCTTAGACACATGACTACTTAATTCTGTTAACAAATGATTATTGCACAAATAACCTCTATTAAGTATTCTCCAAAAATGTGAAATTGATCATTTTATTGAAGTATATCAAATTATATTTATCTGTCAAATACGCAGCAAACATTCAGGAAATGGACCATTGCATAGGAAGAGAAACCAAAATTAGTATGGCAAGAATAAAACTAGAGTGGGGGCCCTAGAGGCCAAACACCATTTTGATGAAATTTTTTGTCATATATGTCTACCTGGTTTACTCATTTCCTTCACTTGGGATCCAAGGGCCAGAAGATCATCTTGCACAGCCCTACCACAGTCATCAAAAGAACCCAGAGGTGGCTGAATAACTCGTAAACAAAACTAACACATGAGCAAAGAGACAGTAAAGCATCTGGTTTCCTTTTCCAGTCTTGCTCTTTGAGGTATTTGCCATGTCAACAAATAACTCAGTAGATTTATTAGGAACAAAAGCAAGTCAGAAATCATCAGACAATTCTTATCTAAAAATGATGTTTAAAGACTACCACTCAGGACTTCCCTGGTGGTGCAGTGGTTAAGAATCCACCTGCCAATGCAAGGGACACAGGTTCAATCCCTGGTCTGGGAAGATCCCACATGCCACAGAGCAACTAAGCCTGTGTGCCACAACTCCTGAGCCTGCGCTCTAGAGCCCGCGAGCCACAACTACTGAAGCCCATGTGCTCTAGGGCGTGCCACAACTAGTGAAGCCTGCATGCCTAGAGCCCATGCTCCACAACAAGAGAAGCCACCACAATGAGAAGCTCGCACACCACAACGAAGAGTAGTCCCCGCTCGCCACAACTAGAGAAAGCCCGCGTGCAGCAACGAAGACCCAACGCAGCCAAAAATTAAAAAAAAAAAAAAAACTACTACTCACCATAAACAAATAATTTACAGTGTTTTGGGAGATGTCTAGCTGCCTTAAAGGGTCATAACTACAACTTTGAAGCAAGAAGAATTTTAGTTCATTCTAAATTTAAATACTGAATATCTCCTAGGTAATTCCATGTTTCAGCATGGCTGAGAGAGAGATTGGGAAATAACATGAAGACTTAAGTATTTCTTCTGACACTGATTTTTTTTTCTTGTGATGAGTACCTTTACGATTTAGTCTCCTAGAAATTTTCAAATATGCAATACAATATTATTAACTAATATATTCTCCATGCTGTACATTACATCCTCAGGATTTTTTTTAATAACTGAGAGTTTGTACCTTTTGACTCCCTTCACCTATTTTGCCCACCCCCTGGCACCTCCACCTTTGGCAAATATTCTGTTCTCTGTATCTATGTTTTTTTTTTTTTAGATTCCACATATAAGTGAGATCATACAGTATTTGTCTTTCTATATCTGACTTATTTCACCTAACATAATGCCCTCGAGGTCCATCCATATTGTCACAAGTGGCAAGTATTCATCTCTTTTATGGCTGAATAAAATTCCATTGTATATATAGACCACTTCTTTAACCATTCATCGGGACATTTAGTTTGTTTCCATATCTTGGCTATTGTAAATAACGCTGCAGTGAACATGGGGATGGATATATCTTTTCCAGTTAGCTTTTTGTTTTCTTCAGGTATATACCTAGAAGTAGAAGTGCTGGCTCATATGCTAGTTCTATTTTTAATTTTTTGAGGAACCTCCATACTATTTTCCATAGTGGCCGCATCAATTTCTACGTTCCCACCAACATTGTACAAACATTCCCTTTTCTCCATATCCCTGCCAGCACTTGTTATTTCTTGTCTTTTTGATAATACCCATTCTAACAAGTGTGAGGTGGTATCTTATTGTGGTTTTGATTTGCATTTCCCTGATGACTAATGATATGGAGCATCCTTTCATGTGTCTGTTGGGCATTTGGAGCTCTTCTTTGGAAAACTGTCTTTCAGGTTCTCTGCCCAGTTTTAATCCAATTGTTTGGTTTTTTGCTGTTGAGTTATATGAGTTTTTATATATCTTGGATATTAACACCATACCAGATAGATTATTTGCAAATATTTTGTTCCATTTAGTAGGTGGCTTTTTCATTTTATTGATAGTCTTTTTCCTGTGCAGAGCTTTTTAGTTTGATGTAGTCCCACTTGTTTATTTTTGCTTTTGTTGCTTTTGCTTTTGGTGTCAAATACAAAAAATTATCACCAAGTTCAATGTCAAGGAGCTTACTGCCTATATTTTCTTCTTTTTTGGTTTCAGGTAAATGGGATTGTTTTCTTTCTCTTTCTTGTCACTCATTATTAGTGTATAGAAATGCAACAGATTTCTGTATATTGATTTTATATCTTGCAAATTTACTGAATTTATTTATTAGTTCTAACAGGTTTTTTTTGGTGGAGTCTTTAGGGTTTTCTCTATACACTATCACCTCATTTGCAAATAGTGACAGTTTTCCTTCTTTTATAATTTGGATGCCTTTTATTTCTTTTTCTTGCCTAATTGCTCTGGCTAGGCCTTCCAATACCATGCTGAATAAAAGTGGCGAGAGTGGGCATCCCTGTCATGTTTCTGATCTTAGAGGAAATGCTTTCAGATTTTCACTATTGAGTATGATGTCAGCTGGGCTTCTCATATATGGCCTTTACTGAGGTATGTTCCCTCTATACCCAGTTTGTTGAGAGCTTGTATCATAAGCAGATATTGAATTCTGTCAAATGTTTTTTCTGTATCTGTTGAGATGATTATATGATTTTTAGCTTTCATTTTGTTAATGTGGTATATGACATTGATTGATTTCAGGATGTTGAACCATCCTTGCATCTCTGGAATAAATTTTACTTGATTGTGGTGTATGATCCCTTTTATATGTTGTTGAATTCAGTTTACTAATATTTTGTTGAGGATTTTTACATCTATGTTTATCAGGGATCTTGGCCTGTAATTTTATTTTCTTGTGGTATCCTTGTCTGATTTTGGTATCAGGAAGTGTTACCTCCTCTTCTATTTTTGGGGAGAATTTGAGAAGGATTGGTATTAATTCTTTTTAGAATGTTTGGTAGAATTCATCAGTGAAGTTGTCTGGTCCTGGACTTTTGTTTGTAGGGAGGTTTGTGATTATTGATTCAATCTCCTTACTAGTAAGTAGTCTGTTCAGATTTTCTATTTCTTCCTGATTTAGTCCTGGAAGGTAGTATGTTTCCCAAAATTTCTTTCTAGTTTGTCCAGTTGGTTGGCATACATTTGTTCCTAGCAGTCTCTTATGATCCTTTGTATTTCTGTGGTATCAGTTACAATGTCTCCTCTTTCATTTCTTATTTTATTTATTTGAGCCCTCTCTTATTTTCTTGTTAAGTCTAGCTAAAGGTTTGTCAATTTTGCTTTTCTTCTCAAAGAACCAGCTCTTGGTTTCACTGAACTTTTCTATAGTCTTTTTCATCTTTATGTCATTTTGCACCTGAATTCAAGCATCAGAAAATTAGAAGTGAAAGAAAAGCTGGAGTGAAGTACACTCCTCCATTAATGGAAGGAAATACTAAGGCATTTGGTGTTATCCTTCCAAAGTCTTCAAACTATAATGAATAGCAGAAAAGATTTAGAGCTGTCAATGACCATTTATTTTATATTTGCTACCTTCCCTTCCTTCAAGGACATTGAAAAACAGATCTTTGAAGAATATGCTGGTTGACTTTTGAGTGTGAGAGAGATTTAAGGGTCTCTGAGCCATTTATTCTCCATCTCTCCAATAGTTCTGAAGAAAAAGAAGGGAGTGAAGAAGGAAGGGGAGAGGATAACAAGTACATCCAAAACTAATACCTAAAAGAGAAATTGTCATTGTTTAACCTGAGATTTGCATTCTGTGATTATGTTGATTGTTACTTAGAAGCAAATATTTATACCTAAATTGAAAGGATGAAGAGGAGTTTGACAGAAGGAAAATTGGGCTTCCCAGACAGAGGGCTCAGCATGAAAGAACAGAATATGTTTAGGTAATGTAAGCATTTAGTATTGCTGACTTGCAGACTTCACAGTGGGAAATGTCTAGGGTCAGGTACCAGTGAATTCTGAAATCCTTGCAAGAGCTTTAGATTTTATCCTCTGGGCAATGGGACCTCTGTTGAAATTTTCTGAGCAGATTGGTGATATGATTATATTAAAACATTAGAAATTCATTCTTGCAACCCTGAGGAGGGGACATTAGAAGTGAGGAGAGGAACAGAATGAGAAGGTTTTAGCTATGTAGAGGCAAAAGGGAACGGAGCCTGTTTTAGAGCAGTGTCAAAGGGGAAGGAGTGCATCAGATAAATGAGATATTCTTAGGAAGTATAGGTGACTTGGCACAAAGACTGATGGAGTGCAGGGTGCAAGGTAGAAGGAGACAGAATTGAGGCTTATTCCAATGTGTCTGTCTTGGCAACTGGGTGTGGACAGTAGGCCCCTTCACCAACTTGGGGTCTAAGAACAGCACCAAGTATTTGTAGTGAAGATGATTAAGATTGGCATTGGACTTGACAAGTTTGAAGTGCTTCTAAGATTTTCATATGGAGCTGTTTATACAAAGTCTGCAGCTACGAATTAAGTTCTAAGCTAAATATATAGATTTGGGGTTGATTCCCATGTTGATAATTCCCTGTAGTATAAGTCCACCTTTTCTAGCATTGAATTCTCCCATGGCCCCCACCCCCAAAAAATTACAAGATGCAAAATTGTGATTTAAGTGTCAAAACTACAGTGATTTCAATTACAAGATGCAAAATTGTGATTTAAGTGTCAACACTACAGTGTGATTTAAGTGTCAAAACTACTGGTGTACCACCTCACACCAGTCAGAATGGAAATCCCTTTGCTTATGCAAAGAAATATCTCCCTCAAGAAATCCCTTCTGTGTAAACTACCTTTAGAAGATTCTGGTGTCTACAATGATCAACATTTAGACAAGCACAAGGTGTTGGCTGAATCCCTGGGGAAAGATAATATTTCCAGGGAGAGAGTATAGGACATCAAGAGAACAAATCAGAAGGAGAAACTGAAAGATCATTTCAATCAGGGAGAAGGTATCAGCTAACAGCCACAGGGAGAAGTGTTTGCACTACTATTTAAGGAACCATAAGTCAGTCAATTGACTGAGAACTAGGAGAAATGACTGAATAGGAAGAGAAGTGACAGACTGTGGAGAGACCTTCAATGTCAGGCTTTGGCTTTTCTTCCTAGAGAAAAGAGCCATTGAAGGTTTAGCAAATGTACCAATCTGGAAAATTAATAGATCAGTAATAAGTAGAATAGACTGAGTCTGGGTAAGGAGACCAGCTAGGAAAGAATTTCCATAGGACATGAGTGAGATAGATGAGAGACTGATCACACGTGACAGATGTGAGAAACTCCATAAAGGAAGGATCATTGAGATTGGTGCCTATTGTGAGAAAGAAAAGCCAAAGATGACCACAGGTCTGTAAATCAGGGGACAGGTGAAGAAGAAAAATCCACATAGAGTGCCAAAAAAGGGGGTTTTAAAAAGAAAAGAAATGGGCCATATCTTAGAAACATGGATTTTTGAAGTGACAGGAGGCATTCAAATGATGTCCAGTAAGTAG